GCAGCATCATCAGCTCCACAGACAGCCTGCCGGATGACCTCAACACCTTCTACACCCGCTTTGAGACCTCCAGCCACAGCACAGAGAGGAGGCACCCACACACTACCCACCCCCCCCCCTCCCCTCCATTAACTGTCTCACCAGGAACACACAGTCCTGAGGAAGATCAACCCCCACAAAGCGGCAGGACCAGACAACATCCCTGGGAGGGCTCTCAGGGCATGTGCCAGCGAGCTGGCTGATGTTCTCAAATACGTATGCATTGACTATCTTCCACTTTTTGTCTCTCTTTATGTCATGCTCCCTTTGTTGTGGCCATGACAATGGAGACACACACACACACACACAAAGTGAAAGTGCAGATCTTGCCTTCATATTCTAAACATAGACAGCAGCTGAAATAGTACCACTCAGTGAACTTGACTTCAGCTGGACAGTGATCATCATCTGGCCTCATGAGCTCAGCTGCAGCGCTTTACAAAGCTAATGGACACACAAAACTAAAAGAGACAACATATTTTCCAATACAGCATTTTCTTTTGGTCCTTTTGGCCGTATTTGCAAAAAATGAATACACATTTTAAAATGTTTCTAAACACTTTAAATATTTTTAGGTAAGAAAACATCCTTTTTTAAAAGTAGAAACAACTACTAAATCAATCTAACCGTAAATAAGGCTCAGATTTTGTTGTTTGTGCCAGCTGAGAGCATCTTGACCAGCTGCATCACTGTCTGGTATGGCAGCACTACTGCTATAGACCGCACGCACCTGCAGAGAGTGGTAAAGACTGTGGAGAAGATCACTAAGACTCCACTGCCCTCTCTGCAGAGCATTTACCACCGCAGGGTGTGTAGGAAAGATGCCTCCATCCTCAAGGACCCCACTCACCCCCAGCATGGACTGTTCACCTCCCTACCCTCTGGCTGGAGGTTCAGAAGTGTGAAATGCAGGACCACTAGACTGAAAAACTCTTTCTTTCCCTCTGCCATCAGACTCCTAAACAGCTGAGGAGTTTATTACCAGGAAATACATCATGTACTGTTTACATTCTCAGTTTGCACAATGACTGTTGACTGCCGCACATGCTGCTCCCATGCAGCATACATTCTTTGTTATATTCTTATATATTTTTTTATTATATTATTGTATTTGCTGCTTAAAGTGCCTTAGATTTTGTGTTACTTATCTACTTTATATTTCATTTGTATTTTGTGGCATTCATGTGGACGGCAAAGTAAAAATTTCATTGTACAGGGAAACACATTTCCTAACTGTGCATATAACAAATAAACACTTTGAACTTGAACTATATAGGTAGGTGACAGTGGTGTGGTGGGTAGAGCAGTTGTTTCCCAACCAGAAAGTTGAAGGTCCGAATCTTGGTGCTGGCAGTCGAAGTGTCCTTAGGCAAGACAAGGATGTGTGATTATCTGTGTCAGTGGCCCGATATAATTTTGAACTTGCTGTTTTGTTCATCATTCCTACTGGACATCCAAATATTTTATTCTTTATATGGCAAGTTTCGTTAAGCACGACACAAAATCCCTCAAACAGCTCCAAATGAGTGACTATAAGGTGGCTCCCAGTATTTTTAGGCTCCATATATTTAAATTTGGCAACTTGTAGACCAATAATTAATCATAATTAAGTAATAAATACAAGATTTCTTCACTGGAATTTGGCTAGCACAATGGAGAAGGCAGAATCTCTTCATACAGAGACTGAAGTAAATATAAATTAGTAATTAAATTAATCATTAAGGAGAATCAAAATAATTAGAACCATTTATAATCTTTGGTGTCTGATCAACATTTTTGGGAAGGATGTGTGTTAAAGAGAAAGAAAATGGCGTTTTTGTTCCTCTAACTATGACTCAGCATCTCCTAAATCCAAAGAAGAATCTCTCAATGATGAGATCAGTATGGTCTAATCTGAAATTTCTTATCAATGTACCTGCACAAACTGGTTATGTAGGCTGCTGTGATAGTTAATGTTGAGCATGTCCTCTTTGCTTGGTGAGAAACTTGCTCATCTTGTCAGGTATGATGATTACCAGGACATCATTTCTCCTGTTTCTGAGTAATGTTTGTACTGTTCTAAAGTACACATAACTGTATGTCATAAACAGTAGAAAGTTAGCTATGTAACAGCCCTGTGCTTTGTTTTACTGTCAAACACCTACATGCCAAAAGGACTCGGGCCTTGCGGCTGACCAGCATGCCATAGCGATTTTGGGCAGCACAGTCGTACTCGCCCACATCTGTGTCAGTCCCCTCTCTGCGTTTCTGGAAGCTCTGGATGAACAGCGTGCCATTCACCAGCACCTGAACTCGTTGGCCGGTGGGTAACAGCACCCCATTTTTACGCCAGGTAACCATGATCGGCTCTTCACCCTGCACCCGACAGTCCAGCATGAGAGGGTGATCTCTCACTGCAATCACATCACTGGGCTCCAGCAAGAACGCCAGCTCTGAGGCCAGAGAGCCACCTACAAACAAGAGAAAAGATAAAGGCAGGTTATCAAAGAGGGAAAGGTTGATTAACTACTTGTCTGGTTGCTCAAAATGACCATCCAAAGGAATTTTCAAACTCAGAAATATAATCAAGTTTATGAAGAATCTGTGTGAAGCCCTCTAACCCCGATTCCTGTTTCATGATGCTTTTTCAAATGAAGGGCATAAAAAGAAATGTTTTCACAGTCGATATGCTTTAGAAAGATGTTTGATCAAAATCTTTTGAAAGGGACTGTGTCTGAAATGTCAGGCCCTGTCCCTTTCCTAATATTCCCAGCCACAGAAATGTCACAGAACTTCATTACACTTTGGAAGTCAAAGGGATGTATTTTTTTCAATACTTTTAGGACACTTCAGAAACAATGTCTGTAAAGGACTTCAGACTGAAATCAATGTGATTTTTAGCGGTGCAAACTGCAAAATTGCAACTGTTTACAAGTGGTTGTGACTAATTACAAAAAAATTCAAGCAAAAAGAGGAGAAGCGCTAGAGTTAAATAATGGAAAGAACTGGGTAACATTTGCGATTAATCACACAAATACACACAGTCCTACTCTACACATGCATTTGATTGGTGTGCATGCTGCCATCTAGCTTAAAGCTATCATATAGCATGTACAGCAGAGGTCTTCTTGGTCAACTTCAGCTTCAGCGCCTTTTAAATGCACATCACAACCTATGGAAACTAAGAGGTTAGAGGCTAAAATGTATGAGTATCCCACTCATATTTTAGTCTCTAACCTCTTAGTTGTATGTGGGAAAGCAGCCTTTAAGTGGTGGAGTGTCTTATATAAAGACAGAAAAATGGTGGGTCATAAAAAATTCAACCAATTTTTCATCTCAAACCCACAAACATCCCATGGTTCTAGAGACAAAAGCACAGGGAGGCTTCTCTGTCGAACACCAAGCCTCAGGGAACCCTACCCGAAAAACCCCACTGGACACCAAGAAACATCTAACTTGATTGATAGCATATTTGGTCTTGCAGCCGATATTGCATACTGAAGACGAGCCACAAACTGAATGCCAAAGAGCCATCGAGCCACAGAGGGCAACAACAATACTCAAGCTGGGGAAGAGAAGGCAGGCGAGGGTTGTCGAGGTCAAGTTAAGAGAACCTCTTTTGAAGCAGGGGCCAAATGTGACAATGGTGTTGTGACTATGCTTATTTTCACCCAACCCCCAGTAACCTCTGTAAAATCTTCCATCAGCCACCATGCACCCAAGGGCACCATCTGCCCTTTCTTATGCATCCCCTCCACCCCTCCCGTGTCTTTCCATCCTTTCAGCTCCATCTCTGAGGTGACTTTCCCATGCCACCAGATCCCTCTTCGTCCCCCTTGTCCCCTCTCCTACATGACCCTGGTGACACTACCAGCCTTCCCTATTTTCTTTTGGCTCTTTTTTTGGTGTTAATGTCCTCATATGCAAAGAGTCTCAAACCCTTGCTTTAGCTGCTTTCCTTCCCAGCTCTGAAGCAGTAACAATTGTAGTTGCACTTGAACCTGCATGATGCCTTATCAGTGTCACTGCGGAGTCTTGCATCTGTTCGGTCAAACAAACCCTTTCCTTCCACTCGGCCGCCACCTGCACACCAACATTTGTCCAGCCAACCTTCAAGCATTACATCCCGTTCACAGCAGATTGCAGCTGAACTGGACTTTAATTATTTGGTTTCAGTGGTTTTGTTTATTTCTCTTTCCAGTGTTGTTGTTTCTCTCTGAATGTCAGCTGATGCTATTTGCTAATGTGCTGAACATCATTGTCAGTACACATGTATATTGTCAATGTTTTAAATTAATGAAAAAATTTAACATTTTCTAAATTATTTGGAGATAGTTAACTAGCAATGCAGACACTTCTAAGCGTAGGGTTCAGGCTTTGAAATATAGTACATTTGGTTTGTGCGTGCTTAAGGCCCTAAAGTATTGCATAAAACTTTATGGTAACATGTCTTTCCAAGGAAAACATACAGTATGTTACTGTTAAATTTGTTTTAGAGTGGAGGGAGAGATCTCAGAGAGCTATATCTCAGAATCTGCATGGACAGAGATCAAATCCCAGTAGAGCTAGCCAAGAAGATAAGAGTTTTTGAAATATGTTCTAACCTCACCTTTAACAAATGTACCACTTCCCACCTTGTCCTAAATGAATAAAGTATCCTCCACAGAAATTATTACATTCAACATAACCACTTTCTATTGGCTAAACCTGGAAAGTTTGAAATGGTACAGACTGAGATAAACATAGCACAGCTGTGGCTATTTTGACATTATAGTGTTGAGGTATAAGTCCTGGCTCTGGAGTTGATGAAATGGCTGTGGTTTTCTAACAGTCCACAAAGTGATAGATTGTTTGCTTATCCACTGTCTGAACATAGAGCATAGCTGTCCGCCATCTTCATGATCTCTGCCATCAGCTTTACTGATGTGTCATATCAAGAAGTGAGCACCTGCTCTCTTGTTAATGCAAGAGCTTCCACCCAGCAGATGCAGCCAGCAGAAGAGATTGTGGGTCTACTGGTCAGCTATGTCTGGACTGGCTGATATAACGCTGCAATCCCCCGAGCCTCCCTTACCTCAGGCCTGGTAATGAAATTCAGGGCTCCCAAGGGGGACTTGCATTGCATTCTGTGGCCATGGTTATCAAACACATGGTGTGAGACCTAAAAGGCCTCCATCTTTGATGGCGAGTGTTTAAATGGGGGTGGGGGGAGCTTTCCACTTGAAAATCAACATAATGTCTACATAGCAGACACAAGATGACTTCTAAAGGCTGGTTGCTCATACACTATGTATTGTTCTTTTAGTTCTGGTAAATTGAAACTATGACCATATACAGTACGAGAATAA